TGACGGCGCTGCCCGGGCAAAATTTGGAGTTGAAAATCTACCCAAAGTATTTCACGATCCTCGCCGGTGCTATAGAGCCTGTGCACTGTGCTGAGCTTCTTCGGACTCAGACTTGAGTTAGAAGAAGAACGGATCACTTATGGGTTACTACCCTTTGGATATTTACTTCAGGTATTGCCTTTTTGTGGGGGGGGGGGGGGACGAGCAGGCAGATGGAGTATGACAAAGTAGATGTTGCTAAGGCCCTTTGGGGGCGAGTGGACAGTGCCAAGGCACAAATAGACCATTACGGTCTGAGAAGAGCGCAGCGAGGGGCTACCAGGGGATCTGGCCGACACTCAAGCGGAAGAGAACACTGCCCTGATCCGTGATTGTGGTGATCTTATGGGATATGGCGAAACATGGCAGCTTACGCTTATTACGGCACATTATGACGTGGTAATGGGCTAAACTTGAGTCACAGTGATTGAATTCCATAGCCAAGCGGAAGGCAAGGCAAGAACACTTCCGTGATTGTGGTCGTTTATGATATGCAAACATGGCAGCTTACGCTTATTACGGCACATTATGGTGGCTAAGAGTCAGTGATTGAATTCCATAGTGCAGTCTTCTTGTTCGTTGATTGCAAACGACAGTCTGAAATTGCACGAAGTTCTCATGAAGTTGTTCAACCATAAATCGTGACAATTTTTTGTGTCGTTTTCCTGTGTGTTCGTCCATCGTCCATCACGAGTGATGAAGACCACCTTTCATCCAAAGTGATAGCTGGAAGAAAGTGACTTGCGCAAGGACTTGGATTTAAGTGAGGAAGAGTTTCGCAATTTGTCGACCTCACTTTCACGCCTGTGTCCATCTTGATCCAATGGCAGGACAATGTCCAGACGATTGGAAATGGGCCTAGGTGCAGTGGATGACCAAGGCGTCTTAAGTGCCCTGCCTTGCTCAAAACTGCCCACAGTGCTTGCTGGTAATCGCCTTTTTGTCCCTTGAACCACCTTTTTCTGTAGAGCTATGCCAGCAGCTACACTCTTTTTTATTTGTCTTTGAAGTGCATGCCCCATTTACCCGCAACGTCATTTTCTTCCACTTAATTCAAAGTATTTTTGCGTTTCAGAGATTTTGTGTTTTTAATATATTGGTTTCTGTTCTTATTAATTTCATAATATGGCTTTGTCTTGCGATAGTTTTTTTGTTGTTGTTTTTTTGTTTTTGTTTTCGTTCAGTGAGACTGTTTGTTGTTCAGGCTGTGACTTTCCCCTCTTGTGTTGTTGTTGTTGCTGCTGCTGCTTCATCATCATCATCATCTTCTTTTTCTTCTTCTTCTTTTTGTTCATGTTATTGTTCTTGTTCTTTTTTCTCTTCTTGTTCTTTTCTTCTTCTTTTTGTTCATGTTCTTGTTCTTGTTTTTCTTCTTCTTCTTCTTCTTCTTCTTCTTCTTCTTCTTCTTCTTCTTCTTCTTCTTCTTCTTCTTCTTCTTCTTCTTCTTCTTCTTCTTCTTTTTCTTCTTCTTCTTCTTCTGCATTCGCTGCTGAAAAAGCGGCTGTCACATCGTCATGTGGGTTTCGGCTAGGCTACGATATCTGCGAATTTCAGTGCAACACATCATATTTCAGCTAACTCCTAATTAGTGGCTTTTTTAACGTTAGTTAGGAGCCAGTTGGTCTGTATGTGTTGTCTTTTAATGTGGCCACACTATTTTACTTGTCTCTTTGGTTTCTTCTTTTATCTACTTTCTTTCCATTCCCAGTAACCCCGGAATTTTGCTTTTAAAAAGTACTCACAGGAAAAATAAAAATGTGGTAACCACTGCACGAAACTAAAGCACGTGTGCATTCACCTCGCGTTAGCTTAATTAGTCCGTTTCTTTCAATACACAGCTGCATATTTTTTAAATGTTCCACGTCATTTCGGCGCTTTCATGATTCGTTTTTTTTTTTTAAACACAGAAATTAGAAAACTAAAATGTAACGCGAAAGACGCGAATTCGAAACGCGGGTCCTAGCTGGAAAAGAAAGGGATTTCAAAACAGCTATGGAAAAGTAATCTGTTTAGGAAATTCGGTCGTAAAAGTCTGGTAAAACGCAGAATTGATTATTTTTCCCTGCCGGTCATAGAGAAACCATCCATTGCAATACCTTAGCAGCAAAAGTTTAATGTGCGTTCGTGATGCCAAGGGATCCAACAGACTGTATATTTCATTTACACGCGGTCCCCCTGGCCATAAAACATTTGCTGAAAAGCGAATTAAGTTCTCTACAGCCTTGTTGAAATGTGTTGTGTTGGCCATGTCGTTCCCAGCTCACTTCGATTTATTGTAACTTTCTGTTGAGACTTGTGCTGGTAAAGGCGGCGTATTCACTCTTTACTTAAATATTCACGGTCGCCTGCAGATCCAAATGTCGTAGGTTCGAGTTCTAACCGAGGCGCCCTTTTAAAAAAAATGTCCTTGGCTACCATGTAGACCCAGCCTTAAATGGGTATCAGGTAAAGTCCTTGGAAGTAAAGGCGACCGGCGTGATGTTGACATCACCCACCGAGTGCCGATTGGTCTATGAACTATATGTCTAGCCCTATATACCCAGTACGCCTGAAGACGTAAAAAAACTGAAGTAATCGTCATCATCATCTCGATGTGAACTTATACGCCACATAGGGCTGGCAATGCCCCGTGCGGATTCGGGATCCAGTTTGGAACGGGGTTAAAAGAATAGACCTGCTGCGGCTAAACAAACATTTCGAAATACCTTATGTAATAATTCTACGTGTGTATGACCAACTTGTCGTGGCCGACTACTTCCATCAACGACAAACTGCATTTCTGGTGGCGACAGTTGGCTTTAGAGCCTCTAGCAACTGCCATATGAATTTACTGCGTGCTCATAATTCTGGGATGTTCCGAGACTAATTGTTTGTTAACCAGTTTTTCAAATGTAACAATGTGGGACATTTCATTTTATTTTCACTGGCACAGGAACGGCCTGCCTTGTTTACTCCAAAGGATAGGTAACATATATTTCATAAAGCGCGACTAATTGATGTTTATTGAGGCGAAAGGGGCGGATATGGCTGATTGGCTATAATCCACAGCGATTAGAGGAAGAAGAAGGGGTGAAGGAAGAAGAAGGGGGAAAAGAAGAAGAAGAAAAAGGGGGAAAGAAGAAGAAAAAGGAGGAGGGAAAAAAGAAGGAGGAGGGGGAAAAGAAGAAGTAGAAGAAGAAGAAGAAGAAGAAGAAGAAGAAGAAGAAGAAGAAGAAGAAGAAGAAGAAGAATATACGGATATTACGGATATCCTAGTTATAACTTCTTTGGATATTGAACTGGGATCCTGAAATTTGCCCTGTTTGCTTGCCATCAGGATTGCGATTTTGTAACCTCAGGGCTGTCGAAGTTTCGGATAGCAACCCGGATAGGAGAAAATTGCTGGCTGACCAGTCTTTTCCCCCATTATCTTCTGTCTTCTACAATATGTTCGATATTTATGGATGGAGTCCAATCCGGCATATTTGACCTCTTTTATCAACGTTAGTCACATGACCTCTCCTAGACATCCTCGTGCTTTAGTCCATTTGTTTCCAGGTTTAAGCGATAGAGTTGGTAGGATTTCTTTTTTTAAACCCAGTTCATGTTAGGTGGGCACTGATTGTATCCTAGCTTGCCAACCATCTTGAAGTGTTAGGGTTTGAATCCGCCTAAAGATGGATTAATATATATATATATATATATATATATATATATATATATATATATATATATATATATATATGACCTGTAACCGTTGACAATATTTGCAGTATTCTGTTTGCAAGAAATGTTAATTTATTTGTCTATTTGCTGTTCTACTAACCTGCCTATATATATATATGACTGTTTATCTGTACCGTACCTCTGTCTCCTACTTTCTCTCTCTCTCTCTCTCTCTCTCTCTCTCTCTCTCTCTCTCTCTCTCTCTCTCTCTCTCTCTCTCTCTCTCTCTCTCTCTCTCTCTCTCTCGCCCCCCCCCCCACCCATCTATCTCGTAAAGTAATAAATAATTGTTCGTCAGAAAAAGCAATACTTTTTCTCAAATATAGCTGACTCATCTTTGTGACACTCTAGGGAACGTGGATCCATTTGGGTCATGACTTCCAAGCGTGCTTTTTTTTTCTTCTTTGTTTCTTCTTCCCATGTCGTCTTTGTAACTTGAAAAATATAAAAGAAAGTTCGGACTGCTAATAGTACGGTCCCACTGAGTTTGGCGCCCAAATTGCCACCATGCTCTACTAATTGTAGGAGACAACATAATAAATCTTAAAGATGAATGTGCCCTAAATAATATTAATCTTTTGTTGATCGATTTATGTCCATGCTAAGGTTGGAAAAGTGTGCCGTTGATCAAATTCTTGAAGAAGGAATGTACAAATATTATTTTTGAAAGACGCTGCCTCTGTTGAAATGCCTCCGATTGTTTCTATTACCTAATTGCCAACCATTTCAAGTGGGATGTCACGGATTTAATATTCCCATTTTGCAAAAAAGTCAAAAATAAAATTAATTTACGTACTTTCTTCTTTACCTCATCTTCCTCCTCCTCCTCTTCCTCCTCCTCCTCTTCTTCTTCTTCTTCTTCTTCTTCTTCTTCTTCTTCTTCTTCTTCTTCTTCTTCTTCTTCTTCTTCTTCTTCTTCTTCTTCTTCTTCTTCTTCTCTGTCCCCCCTCCTCCTCCACCTCCTCCTCCTTCCTGCCTGCCATAGTGCCTGCCAGCCTGCCTCCCTCTCCTCCTCCTTCTCTTCTTTCTTCTTTCTTCTTCTTCTTCTTCTTCTTCTTCTTCTTCTTCTTCTTCTTCTTCTTCTTCTTCTTCTTCTTCTTCTTCTTCTTCTTCTTCTTCTTCTTCTTCTTCTTCTTCTTCTGCTGCTGCTGCTGCTGCGCCTCCTCCTCTTCTTCCTATTTTGAAGGCTAAAGGTGTGCTTATTTCTTTTATTGCATCTGATTTGTTCATGCTTGTTGCTTCTTCTTACTTCATAGGGTAAAGAATTTGTCACCAATTATCTGCTGGAGTACCAGAGAGAGGATGAAGGCAACTGGTTCAGGTACAGAAACAGGAACTCTGAAGAGGTAATTGTTCTTAGAAATTTGCGATATATTCTTTCTATAATTTTGTGGAATGAAATGTTTTATAACCTGCGTACCAAGCCAGTGATTCTGATTCAGTCCACAGCGTTGGGAACATTTCTTTCCAGTTTATGTGTATTCAACGAATCAACATCATGGCATACAGATATCACCCATAAGTGCTCCGTTCTACTTCTAACTTAAGCCTATATCTGAAAATCTCAGCGCAGTGCACGAACTCCGTTGCACCGATGAGGATCCTGAAATACTTTGGGTAGCTTTTTAACTTCAAATTTTGCCTGGGCAGCACCGTTAAACTACTCTTAAAACTGCCAAGGTATTTTTTTTTACGTGCGCAACAATACACACGGGTGGCCGATCTTACTACACAGAGACTAGGACAAATTACTAGAATTCTATGCGAAACAAATTCCAGCCTTCACGGGAGTTTAAACCCGGGTCCTCCAGCACTCGAGGCGGATGCAGTACCTGGAGATCACTCAGCCTCATCTGTGTCCTACCAGTGTCTTACATTAAACAATACTGCCATACTATGTGTAGACGGTAATGATGATTAGGATTATGACGACGATGATGATTATGATTGATGATGATTAGGATTATGACGACGATGATGATTATGATTGATGATGATTAGGATTATGACGACGATGATGATTATGATTGATGATGATTAGGATTATGACAACGATGATGATTATGATTGATGATGATAATGATATTGTGCTGGATGGCAAACAAACAGTGAAACCTCGTCAGCATGACTACGTTTCAGAAAGACACTCAATAGACATGAAGAAACAATGGGTCCCTGCAGGGATGTATTATAAAATCAGGCTGTTGATTTTTGTCAGTGTCTTTGATTTCATTTGAACAAGGTTTTACTGTAATATTATATTTGAAATAATACACATTGTATCAGTACTTTAAAAGAAAACCGTTAAACATGTTTATGAGACCGCCTTGTTCCTTTCAGATTTTATAGAGAGCATTCAGGTCCCTCCCCTCCCCCGCCCCCCCCCCCCGGATTTTTCAAGGGGGCGATGGGGCCTCAGAGTGCATGAGCTTCCAGCTTCTAGCCTCTATGTGGGCCAGCGGTTCTCAACCTGTGGATCACGACCCTTTTGTGGGTCGAACGACCCTTTTACATGGTCGCCTAAGACCATCGGAAAATACATAGTCACTGAAGTTATGAAGTAGCAACGCAAATAATGTTATGGTTGGGGGTCATCTCAACATGAAGAACTGTATTAAACGGTCACCGCATTAGAAAGGTTGAGAACCATTGATATAGGCCCGTAAGCCCTCTTACACAAATCCGTCCTGTCTTTTGCCATATGTTGCGGTTCACTCCATGTTCTCCTTATATTATCAGTCTTACCTTAAAAACAGAGACCCGTTTCCGTAGCTTGCGCCCAGTTAGGTTTATGGCTCCACCCCCAGTGCTTTACGGACCAGAAGGCCTGTGAACAAAAAGATCAGTATCATCACGGGCTGCCTTTAGTTTTGAGAACAATTCCTGATACTCATGTTTTTGTTTAGACTGGGCTGTTGCTTTTGAGTGTGGTCACTTTTATGTTTCCCTTGGAAGGATCCATTTGTTTGCTTTATTTTAATCAACTGTTAATTCTGGTGTGGGTTCCGGGGTCACCAACAATGGTGACACAATGAAAGAAATTAAACGACGACTATCCATTGCTCTTCAAAGACTAAAACAACTGAATAAATTATGGTGCGACAGACGGAACTACAAAATTAGATTTCTAAGAGCATGCATCTTTCCCATTGCAACATACGTCTGTGAGACCTGGGCAGTTACTAAACAAGCTGAACAGTGCATAAATGTCTTTGAATACATATGTTATAGACGGATTTAAAGAACATCTTGGGTAAAGAAAAGAACCAATGCATCCATACTTCAAGAACTGAATGTTGAAGAAGGTTGGCTTTTTAAAACTATAAAACACAGAAAATTTAAATATTTTGGTCACTTGAAACGTCACGAAAGTTTAGAGAGAACAATTATGGAGGAGTATATGCCTAGGTAGATAGGAAGAGGAAGAACAAGAGAAGATGGTTGCAGGATGTCGCTAAAGCTACGCTAAGGACAAAACTGGAGATAGAGAGGATGGCTTAGGATCGAATTGAGTGCTGACAATTTGTCTCTGCCTTATGTGCTTCAGGGCGTGTTGAGAATTGATTGATTGATTGATTGATTAGGCGTGTTGCCTTCAAAGTCGAAGTGCATCTGTCTGAGAGGCGAGGAACCAGCAGTCTGCACACAAATAAGCCAGATGTGTACAATTTGTAATGTACACAAAATTCAAGCTCTGAAACAAGACCAGAAGCAGACGAACAACCAGAACTTTCTGCCAGAGATTACAGCCAGTGAATAAATGCTGAGAAGAAGAAGATTGTTTCGTTATGTCGACCTGCAGGTAATTTTTAAAATTAACTTTACTTAATGACTTATGTCTAGAAAATGTGCAAACTCTTGAGGTTTTTTTTTTTTTTTTTTATATTTTGGGGTTTATTTTCAATCTGTAGAAATTCAAAGGCAATAGAAACGTTTACCTGGCAGACATAAGAGATGTGGACCCGCCAATTATCGCCAAAAGAATCCGTTTCATCCCATACAGCGAGAGCCCAAGAACAGTGTGTATGAGAGTGGAGATGTACGGATGTACCTGGAATGGTAAGTACATGTTAAGTACACATTGAAACAGGATAGTAGATGATTAGTGTTTGTGGAATAATAAGTACACAATAAAATGAATGTTGAATATTTAATTAGCAGTCAGAACACCCTCATAAGCCCTCTGTCCCCAACTTCAGCAGCAAATGAAGAGTTCCGATTCGGAGGGCACCAGTAACTTTCTCATTGTATATCCATCTCGCCCTTTCCTTGAATGTTGAGCATCGGCTAGTTAACCTGGTAACTCCTTGCAGCGCCATTCTTCTCAGACTGCAATGCTCTATTTGAACTTCCACACTGTTCACAGTGAAGAAATAGCACAGGCTAATTAATGTACATGTAAGAATAAGTACACATTAACTCTTTCTTTTTTGAAGCTGAATGTTTCTAAAGGATTTATACAGTGAGAGTCAGGGGTGCTGAAAAGGGCTTAGGCCACCTCCCCACCCATAAAAAGTGTGGGGGTTTGGGGGGGGGGGGGGAGGGAACAGAGGCTGAGCTATAATGTTTGAGGTTTGGCTTGGGATTTCCACACATGCAGGGTTTGGTTTGGGACATCCACACATGCAGGGTTTGGTTTGGGACATCCACTCATGCAGGGTTTAGTTTTGGTTTGGGACATCCACACATGCAGGGTTTGGTTTTGGTTTGGGACATCCACTCATGCAGGGTTTAGTTTGGGACATCCACACTTGCAGGGTTTGGTTTTGGTTTGGGACATCCACACATGCAGGGTTTGGTTAGGGACATCCACACATGCAGGGT